GAGCAACTATGAGACTAACCATCTCCATCATATGGATGAGTATACAGCACATTAGTCTGTCTAGTTATCTCGATATCTCTCTCGAGTAACCTATGACTAGGATTAATTATGGTTTGTGTTTAAAAGTAAATCAGTCTCATTATCGCAATCTCATCACGAGTCGATTCTTATTGCATAGATCCATGGACATCATAATATATCCAACATGCAACATAAAGTGAGAAAATACTAATAATAATAATAAGTAAAAAGACTGCATAGCATGTTACACGTGTCATCACTCACGTGATTAGCTTGTATAGTATCTATGACTAGTAAAGGCAAAAGACTTGAGTCATTGAATAGACTAACGTTAGTACCTCATCGGTATTTATATCGAGGTAGAGGCATTGAGATTCAGAAACAATAGCTATTGCTTCTGCATGAAAGTATTATGGGTTGGGGGTAAAGCCTCATCGCTTGAACACTCGTTAAGCCTATGATACGAGCCCTCATAGTACCAAAATATTAGGGAAAGATATCATTAACATTCAAATTACCTCGATATGATTTAGGTTTACGTGTATAGGATGATTAAGGTGTCATGGAGGTATCCCCGAGATGGAACTCTATATTCTTTAATGAGATCTACGTAAAGATTGAGCTCGAAATGTTTTCCTGACCTAGTCCACGATCAAGTTAGCTCGATGGTTCGTTCAACTGCCTCCTTTCAACTTATATCCATGTGCGTGGGAGTAGGTATTGTCATATTGATAACCACGTATTGTTTGACCTATCTGTATACCTATGTTTATGTCGAGTTGTTTGACCTGCCAAACGAGTGATTCCTGCAGAAATGTATGCTGTAAAATTTTCTTGGATTTAGGAATAACATGATGAAACGCAATACTCAATGTTGGTATAGAACACTGAGCGCATGTGCCTCGAAACTGCAACAGCTCATGGGGCATACCGTGGACATCATCATTGGTTCGACACATTTGCAGTGCCCGAGAAAGGAAGAGAGTGACTTAACACAAGTTTTGAGGAATGCAAGTGCTTCAAGGACAAACATGTCTCTAAGAGTCCAAAAGAAAGTTTGGTATGTCTCTCTTTTATTCCTTCCTTGAGATCAAAGATCAATTCATGAATGAAATATATTGTTTGGTGGAAATCCATAATGACACAGCAGGTTGCAAGAAAATTGATTCTGGTGACTCTGATGAGCTATATTCCAACTACAACTTCAGAATAGATCATGAATTTGAATTGCTGATATCGTGTGATGATTTAGGTTGAAATGATTCAGTCATGTGAAGTATGATTTTCTATACTATTTAGTTAACAATCTGATGCAGCACATATCAACTAGTTTGAACATCTTGACTTGCAATATGGGGTTCTTCAACCAAACTTAAAGAACATGATTAGAAGAAGATATAAAATACTGATGAGCTTCTTGTCTCTAGTCCTCAAAACTTCAGGAACAACATGGTTTGGATAAAGAATGATTTGGATCGACAATATTGATGGCTCATTTGGTGATTACCTAATGGAAACCCTCAACCTGATGGAGAAATGATCGACCTATAAAGACCAGAAGCAGATCTAAACAATTAAGAGCAGGAAATGAGTCAACACCAGGAGATGGTACTTGCAGTTGTCGCACTCTGTGTTCCTGTTCGAGCTGTTGTCTCATCTTGTCTCTGTTCCTGTTCTTCATTTAACAGCACAGGCCTTGAGTCATTGTTCATGTATATCTGGGACTGAACAATTATCTGGTGGCTCAGACATGATCAGACTGCAGAGTTCGAATGCCTGATCAGCATGCAAGGCTAGTTAACCTGCTTCACAGAAGAAGAAAAGCTGGTAAATGATCGTTTGTGGACTTCAAGTTGTTCATGTACTCGATGGTTTTCCTTTTCTCAGCCAAGATGAACTTGGAAATGTAGGCCGGGCAATGGAGAAAGGAAACAAACATAGTCTGGTGATCGGTGCCAAGAAACAAACAAGCTCCACAGTAGATTCATCAGTGATTGAGAGTGATCTCCGGAGATGCTGCTGCCTGATTCAACCTTGTTTGTTTTGTTTATTGTTTGCAGACTATTTGGACCTCTCTACCTGAACTTTTATATCATCTACACCACTAAAAGGGAGGCATAGGCTGCTCCTGGATAAGCTAAAATACTCTCTCTCTCTCTCTCTCTTTCTCTCTTCAACTTGATCAGCTACCCAATGTCATACATATAAATGTATATTCTTTGTTAAAGCCCAGGAAAATGCCAAAGCTTGCTTCACTGGAGGAGGAAGCCAAGAGTGATGTTCCTTCCAAATAGTAGAGCTGCTTGAGGACAAGAAAGAAACCAGTCTGGATGCAGTGAGGTGTTCTTAAACTTTGAGCTTGGCAATGTTTATTTGCTGGTGTTGTGGTTGGAACATGTTGTAGGTTATGGCACTGGTCTTAGTGGTGGATGCTTCATGGAAAGTGTGTTTAGATTAACTCCCAATCTGTTCAGTTTAAGATACTTGTTTGACCTTAATCACTGAGAAAGTTGTTCTAATGTTTTACAGGTGGATCAATTTGCAAGTTCAGGCTTGTGCCAATCTGACACTACCCTGAATACATTTCAACTATGTCAGTTTAAGCTCCTACAACAAGCAACAGAGAGGCCATGGTGGTAGCTTCACTATTGTTTGATCCAAGCTCTACAGGGAACCAGCAAACAAATGCCTGCTCCAGGACAAGACAGGAAATATCTAAGCTCTGTATGCTTACAGAGAGGCCATGGTGGTAGCTTCACTATTCATGCTATGAATACAAACACAAAAAATAGGATTTCTGCAAGTTGCCTTACAGCCACCATCTTCTGGGATCCAGCAAGAAGAAGAAAGCAATGGTGAGGTTTCTTATCCACTTCTCCAAACGCACTGCTTTGTTTTACTTTTGGCATGTCTTCATTCTTGAATTCAGGCTACATTTGTGATCCTCTCCAGATCCTTCCTCAATAATTTGAACAGAAGAAAACAAAACAAAGTCAACTGTTGGCAATCAATCCACTCTCAGTCTGATGTACTTGCACTCTATTCCAGAATTAAGGTGAGTCCAAAAGTGATGCAATCTATGTATGTTCAGACTTAAATCTCTTCAGCACACAGGTGGCCATAAGCTCAGACCCAATTGTTAAGTCCAGAACTAATCATAGACCCTCTGAAATTGAGGAGTCCTCATTCACACATTTGTCTCTAAACTTACTATTCTATGATCTTGACTTTGATGCTTTCAGCATTTATATTAGGCCAGGAGATGCCACCTGAAACTTGCAATACAACTCTGCCTCAGCATAGGTTTAATATCTCAATCTGCTCCACATTCTACTGAACAGCATACTTTTTCTCTTAGGGTGTGATAATGGAAACAAGTAATTAATGACTTCTGCTCTCGAGAACAAAATACTTCACATTGATACTAATTTATGTGAGCCAGCACTGGGAAGAATTCTTGATGCATTGTTCTTGACGTTGCAAATGGGGATCATTGTTGCAGCAGATGCATTGTTTCTTGGGCCTTGTAAACTTGGCCCTTCACTTCAGCCACTGAGATGTCAAGGAATCCATATTTATAATATCACTTAAGAGTTTGTGTCAGAGATGTCTAAGTTGAGATGTTTAACTTGTCTTTTGTAGTTAACATTCCTAATGTACTACAACAACAATAAAATCATAAACTCTTTAACTATTTGACATCCGCTACATTAATTTTTTTTATCATCATTATTTTTTTAAATCATATATTTATTGAAATTAAAAAAATAAATATTTATTTATATTTTTTATCAAAATATATTCTTCTATCATGTTAATAATAATTATTTCATTTATTCCGAATATCATATATATAGCTCTTCTAAGCAAATGTTTATACTATCTTAAACGGTACTCCTCATTTTATGTTATATCAAAACGATACATAATCATTCATAAATAAAAATATTTTTTTTATTTTTTTAATAACTTTATATATCTATTGTTATATTTTCATCTAACAATACAAATATTTTTTATATATCATTTTCTTAGATGCCAACATTCATATCCATAAAATCTTTTTTATCTTGTTAGAAGTATATAGGGGGTTGACCTTTGAATCCTAACGGGTAACAGTCGAGTGGAAACAAAAATGGATATATATATATATATATATGTATGTATATATATGT